TGCCAATATTAATGGTAAAAAAACTGTTGTGAATTGCAAAAATTTGGTTGGAAGATAATGTACTTTTGCAAAATGTTTTCGGTCTCACTATATCTCTTTTTTCCTTTTTCCTTTTACTATATTTTCATGTATACTTGGGAATAACGATTTTTTTTTTTTTTTAATTTTATTATCTATATTTTTCCATGGCATATATTGAGAAACGTTTGGAATAAAAGTTAATTTTCACCTAAATTTTTCTAGCGTGGCAACAGTGGTAACGAGTCGAAGGATCGATGTTCAATTTTTTTTTTTTTTTTGTATAATATCTCTTTTTATTACTTATACCAACTAGTCTGTTTTTGTAATGGGCTTATCTGTGTTCATACGCTACTGTTTTTTTTATGACTTCAATGAGGATGGGTTTAGGTATTTTGGGTTGAAACTTTTTGTGATCTTTTAATTACGATATTTTCTCATCGGCATTTATTTTATAGTCATTGGTATTGGGACCTGTTTTACTGCCATCATGAATCATAATTTATTTTTTGCTTTTTTGATTGACTGGATAGTTTCAAACATCAAAAAAGTAAACATTTTTTTTGGCAATTACTCATGAAGAAATTCTCATTCGGATTTTTTAATGTGAGATCTCTGCTTCCAAATTTAGCTGATTTTAGGACATTTATCACTCACGAGAACTATGATGTGTTGGGAATCTGTGAAACCTGGTTGACTGAAGAAACCCCTGATTATTTATTACAAGTTGATGGCTATAATTTTATTAGAAAAGATAGAGGTTCGAGAGGCGGTGGTGTTGGTATATATATCAAATCTAATTTGAATTATGAAACTTTAGAGGTAGGAATATGTGAAGCTGTGGAACAGCTGTGGGTAAGCTTTAGTGTTGGTACTGTCAAATACATTTTCGGTACTCTTTACCGGCCACCAAATAAAAATTTCAATGATTTTCTCAATAATTTAGAAGATAATTTATCAGAAGTAGTTCCCCTTTGCAACGAAATTATTTGTGGAGGTGACATTAATATTAATATTCTCGACTTTGAGAATAAAAGTACCGAAGCATTCAATAACTGTATTGATATTTTCAATTTAAAGCAAATTATAACTGAACCAACACGAATAACGAGTACTACTTCCACTCTCTTGGATGTAATTATCATTTCGAATGAAATCAATCCTCTGGATTATGGATGCAAGGATGTTTTTGATATCTCTGATCATCAACTCGTGTTTTCCACTTTAGATATTAACATGAAACATTGTATTAATAAAACATATGCAACAAGAAATTTAAAAAATATTGACAAGGACTTGCTAGAATATTTTCTAATAACTGCACCTTTCGAAGATGTATATCTACTGGATGATGCTAACAATAAAGTTATATGTTTCAATCAAATACTTCTGAATATATTTGATACATTAGCGCCAGTGACTATTAGGAAAATGAGAAAACCAAGACCACCGTGGCTTACTGACAATATAAAGCTTATGATGTCACTACGAGATAAAGCTTTCAAAAAATACAAGAGAACTAAAAACATAAATCACTGGCAATATTACAAAGACCTTAAAAACTTAACTAATTCTTCTATAAGAAACGAAAAGAAGGCATATTTCAAATATTGTGTGGAGAGAAATGGAAATAATAGTAATTTAATGTGGAAAAACATAAAACAACTTAATATTACAAATGAAGCGTCTAATTCTAAAAGCTTACCTCCTGAAATGAATATACCAAATGAAATCAACGACAACTTCCTTACATACTCTGGTACTTTGAAACCAGTTGATAATGATTTGCTCTCATTTTATAACACTAATTCAAAAGCGAACTTTGAATCACAGTTTTCATTTTCTCCTGTTGATAGTAATGTTGTCTATAAACATTTAGTCGATATAAAGTCGAGAGCAACTGGTGTTGATGGTCTACAGATTGAAATGCTTCTTCTTTGCTGTCCGCAAATTTTGCATATTCTTACTCATATTTTTAACACATGCTTAAGACAAGGTATTTTTCCAGAAAAATGGAAGGTGTCAAAAGTGATTCCACTCCCTAAAAAGTCAAATATTCTGAATATCAATGATCTGAGACCTATATCCATCTTACCTGTGTTATCTAAAGTATTAGAAAAAATCATGAAATTTCAAATTAATTCACATATCCAGACATATAATATATTACCTGTACACCAATCAGGTTTCAGAAACGGATATAGCTGTACTACCGCCTTGTTAGATGTAACAGACGATATTTTTAGAGATATAGATGAAGGAAACGCTGTAGCACTTATTTTATTGGACTATTCAAAAGCATTCGATACTATCAATCACTGTTTATTGTTTGCAATACTCCACTATATCGGGTTCTCATGTAGTGCAATCAATTTACTTAAGAGCTACCTTACTAATCGCGCACAATTTGTTGAAACTAGCAAAGGCCAGTCAGATATAAAAAACATTTACTGTGGTGTGCCTCAAGGCTCTATATTAGGACCTATACTATTTTCATTATATACTTGTAATATTACTAGTTGCCTTGTTGGATGTAAATCATACATGTATGCTGATGATACTCAGATCAAGTTCACCATATCCCATACTGAAATTGATTTAACAAATCAGGTGATCAATTCGGAATTATCCAAGCTTGTATCATGTTCTGAAAAACATCAACTCTCGATAAATCCCGCTAAGACTCAGGTTCTGATTTTTGGTAAAAATAAAACTCAAATTGAATTGGGCATTAAAATTAAAATTGGTGGTAATGATATATCATATGTCAAAGTTGCAAGAAATTTGGGCTTAGAGTTGGATACAGATTTGCGATTTAAATCTCACATAAGTAAATGCGTGAAACGATCTTTTGCTAATCTAAAAATGTTATTTCCCCATCGACATGTCTTAGATAAATTCACCAAAACTCTCCTCACTGATTCTTTGGTACTTTCGCATTTCAATTATTGTGATGTTGTGTATGGACCTTGCCTAACCAATAACGAGATTAATCGCATTCAACGGGTTCAGAAATCGTGTCTTCGGTACATTCATGGGATAAGGAAATATCAAAACATAACATACAAGTTGAAGGAAACAAAATGGCTCAATATGTCTGCAAGAAGAGAACTGCATACAGTAACTTTATGTCACAAAATATTATTACACAAAACACCTCCATATCTTTATGACAAAATAACCTTCAGAAGTGATGTTCATAATATAAACACTCGATTCAAGGGTTCCATATCACCACCATTTCATCGAACTTCCATATTTGAAAGGTCCTTCACTTACACAGTTTACCAGCTTTACAACCAGGTTCCTTCAGATTTCAAAACAATGTCAACTACCAAATTCAGAAATAGTTACAGAAATATGCTATTTCAAGCAAATGATTGAATTAAAATGAGTACTTGTTTCATTTTCATTTCGTTTATTCACATGCCGACATACATCATGTATTTTTTTTTATGCTAGTCACCAGGAATGGCACTCGTATCAGTTTTACTGCCTGTCATTCCTGTTTTGCAGTATGATTTATATATTTTGAAATGTTCTCTACTTATCGTTGTTATTTTCTGCTCATTCTGCAAATAAATATTATTATTATTATTATTATTATTAAAAACACTGGGAATCTCTAGCTGTCGCGTTGGACATATCGAAAGCATTCGACCGTGTTTGGCACGAAGGACTCCTCCACAAACTACCATCATACGGCTTACCACCTCAGCAATGCCATCTCTTATCGAGTTTTCTTTCAGGCAGATCGCTTCATGTGGTGGTCGTCTGATACCATTGGCATATTGAAGAATCCATATTGGTATTTTGAAAGAAATGGATCATAGAATTAACAGACATTTCCATTGGCGCTATAGCAAAAGAAATTTCTGTAATATGTAAGGTGATTTTTTAATATTGACCTAGTATTTTCTTCCTGTGTATGAAAACTGGTTATTTTCACGAATGAATAATCGGTTGTTACCGTCATAACAGGTATATGTTTATTATTATTAATAAACATTATTCCATTTTTAAGTTCACTATCAGTTATTATTTCCTACTTTTATAAACGAAACATACCCATTCCTTATTTTAATATATTCACTGGAAAACTGTCTCGTTATATGAATTGTCCGAGCCGTACTCAGTGAAAATATAAAATACATACTTATCATTTGATCGAATTGCTGAGGATTTTTCGTTAACAAATCACATTTGCACCCTAATGAACCCAAGCGGAGTTAGGAAGTTGCAACAATAATTGTTTGAATCGTGTGGGATGCTGCTACTATTTTCTGAAGAAATATATTGAGTCGAGCATAAAAGTTCAATAATTATGTGAAAATTTTTGGTTGTGTGATTTTTTATCAAAAATATTTGTTTTTACCTATATAATATATTAATAACCTATATATGTTTCATAGACCAATATCTGGAATGTTCTGTACACTTGACCAATTCTCGAGGCAAAAACTTTACACCGACGTTGAAGATAATTAGAGACATTTCATTATCGAAACAATTACTATTCCAAATTGGGACTCAATATCATGAACTACATGCATTCAATAATTGTCGAAAATATTATGGAATGTTGAATTGACAAATTGAACCTTATCAATTATCTTTTGTCAAAAATTACTCCATCTTGTATATAGGTTATTTCCGCAATTGGGGCAATAAATGAAATAAATGATGAAGACGAAAACACAAAACGAAATGAGAGAATACATTTTTCCCAAAAAAAAAAGAAATGGAGAGATATTGAGACATTGAACATCGAAGGCAGATTGCCCAACCCGAGCATTTAGTTTCTGCGAGGTCACAAACACCGGAAGTATCAATGACTTTTGCAATGTTGCCCATAATAGTTGAAAGATCCATTATGGTCGTAGTGCATATTTTTTTGGAGAAAAATCCAAACATATTTTTTTCATGATTTATCAGGTTTCATTTTATGCCTCAATTTCGGAGATAGTGGTGTAGGTACTCACCTTTTTTCAGAAACACAGCTTGTATTTGATCCATACCAAGGTTGTTTATTACCCTCTACGTCAAAGTTTGAATTTGTCATTTGAAGTTCCATCCTTGAAAGAATAAAAATAATTATAGTGATTATTTTTTTCACATCTAAACACGGACGGATCCGTTGTTTCAACCAATGACGGCTAAATATCTATACTGTATGATCTTATTAAATTTTTTTTCAATAATATGGGTTATGCCAAATTGTTATTATCAAGAAAGTGTCAAAAGATTTTCTCTTGATATCACGAACAAAGCTCTCCGAACTCGAATGACAATGAGTGACATGCTGACAAACAATTCAGGTTATGTTGAATAGCTCATTTGACACAGTAAATAGATGACACCACATACCGTCCCTTCGAAATTTCATTACAGGGCGATTTTGGCGATTTTCGCTGAACGAATAGTCGTGCATAACCCGTCAGAAACTCTAGATATTTAGCCGTCACTGTTTCAACCAATTCTAGCCGATCATTTTGTATCACACTGATTTGTAGTAGCAAATTACAGCGATAATTTTTTCACGTTTGGATCTTCGTTCAAATGAATACATAAAGACTGCGTGTTGGTAAAGTTTATGCAAGGTCAGATGAAGAAACAAATCAGCCGTCGGTCCCTTTGAAAGTTCAAAAGATTGCAGCAGCGCGGCCCGACATTCGTTTGATAATCTGTTCAACTGATTTTGCATGAACTATAGCATCTGTTTCGTTCGAACAAGGCAATTGCATTGGAACAAAAATGACGCAAAACCGTAGTGTGTGGCTGTGGAATGTTCTTGCTGGGCATTTTGTGAAATTGTTTCAAAAAATAATGACGCCGAATTACATACAAAGTGATGATAATTTTATTTTATGATTTTAACTCGATTAGCTCTCGTCTTTGTTGCTATAGGGAAATCCCACGAGTGGACGCAGTGCATTTAGTGGAAATTATCAGAAAATTCTCACCCCTTGTGTAATTACTTGAAAAAATACCAATATTTGTAGTGGAAATGTTACTGACCAAATGAGGGAATATTTCAAATTTCTGTGGGTACTGCTGGAAAAGATTATGGAATTAATTATCTGAGGACATATATCATTCACAGGCAAAGGTTCCTGAAGTTACAATGTCATACAAACTGTAAACAATTAAATAATTGAAATATCTCGCCCAAGATATTCTCATCATGACATGCTTATATAGGAGTGAGATTGAATATTGAGTTATTGAACAATGCTTGATCGATTCAAATATATCACTTGATGTGTTTCGAACTGATATAATCAAGGCTGTTGTATAGATTCGAAGAGGTGAAGGCGAAAAAACTCATTTCATATTGAAAGGTAACCTAGTATGATAACTGTAAAGACATGAAGGTCAAGGTCTTCATGACCATTATCAACATCATTATAAGTACGTACTATGTCTGCGACAATTCTGGTGTAGTTTATAGGAAGTTAATTGAGACCATATTGTGATGGAATATTCTGAGATATACAAAATGGGTCAGTCAGACGTGTTGAATTTCTATCAATTCATTTTTTGTAAAAATTATTCTGATACATTCGCTCTGAGCACCTGGTATTTCCATATTTACCTTTTCGTACGTAAAAAGTTACGCCCTCTTCCAATTTCGACGAAATAAATAGGAGTATGTGAACATTATGAGATTAATATAAAAACTTCACAAACAACATTTGTCATGGATTTCTATCAAGTAACGGCCAAGTCAATTGAAAAAAAAAAAAAATGAGATTACCGTAAGCCGTATTGGCATCAAACAATAACCAGTACTTTTCGAATTATCTTTAGAACAAATAATTTTATCGGAATTTAACAAGAGACAAATAATACTCAAAAATGATTGAACACTAGAAGAAAAATAGATAGGAAGTCATTAGCGCACGTACAAAAAAGATATGGGGGTAAGTGTGTACTTGACCCCCCAGTATTTTGAATATTTGACAGTTAATTTCTGTTTTGTTTTCCTCACACGATGTTACTCATCGTGATGAAGTAATGAATTAATTGAAAAAAAACTGTTTTTAATTTCTAACTTTGACACTCTGTATATCGAATATGAAGGGCAAAAATGAAAAGTGATATTTAAAAACTCATATTGCTTTTGTTCAAGGAATATATGGTTGATGGATTGACCTCCTTTTAGCAGACACCCTGTATATATCCGGGAAAAAAGTACTCACTTTTTTTAAATAAGGACTTACTGAAATTGGAACAACTTGGGAATTAGAGCTTTATATACCAACGAAGGTCGTTGTGTGAAACGGTTCCTATCTCGAGAAATAATTGATATTCATGCATGAAAAATATGAACAACAGCCAGTTAATCAATAAATGTGATGAATAATTCTCAAAATTACAGATGCGCCCACAAAATAAAGTTATTTCCAAAAATCATTGTTTATCATTTTGAACTTTGTTATCGAGAACTTTATTATTCATATTCTGACGTTCATTAACAGCAGAAACTAAACATATATTCCACCTACAAATTGGTGAATAAAGATGAACTGTTCTACCCATCAGAAGAATGAAGTTCACTTGAAGGAATAATCGAATTAAAACTAATCGTATTGATAACTGAACACACTAACCGAATTCACGCTACATCCCTATATTATATTGATCAGTCCGAGTTTAAATACTATTTGATGCTATCATTCATTACTCAAAATCAGCAAAAATATTCTTATTCATTGACTGAAATTTGTCGAAAAACGACAGGTTTCGATGACGTCATCTGCCACAAAGCATAACCAGACATTTTGAGGTTGCCAAATTCATAACTAGTAATCACCGTACAAGGTTCAATATCACCAATGACCGCAATATTCACATTCGTAGAAGACAGTGGTCTCCTGGTTCCTGATGATCACTCATTGAATACTCAATGTTTCAGTGTCACAATGTCAGTCATAATATCCTAATATCCCCATTACGATTTTATTAAAACCCAAACTTTTTTGTAACTACCTGGCAACAGCGTAATGCTAGAGTTCATACAAATATCAATGAAGAAGAACAAGTATTTCAACCTTATCTTCAAATGTCTCGTCTGTCACAATCATCTCAAAACCCTATCATCTAGTGAAATCCATGATAAAATCTAGCAACTACTGCGAATATTCAAAGATTATCCACATATTATCTGATTCTTCAGTTGTGTGTTGTTTTTCGTTATCTGCAGTAGATATCAAGTCCAGAAAATTCATTTTACATTCTGCTTGAAATGACAATCAGAAATATTTCAGCACATTTTGACTTTCAGAAATAGAGAATGGATAGGTATAGTCGATCCATAGTCAGATGGAGCACCTCGAGAAAAAAAAATAGATTCCTTTGGGCGAACATGCCTCAGTTTTCCAGGCTGAAGTAGTGGGCAATAGTTACCTGTGTTCAAGAAAACCTGATTATGAGAGGTTGTAGAACAATCACTATATGCTCGGACAGCAAAGCTGCAATACTGGCTTTGAAATCCAATAGGTTCACAACCGATTTGGTGTCCGAGTGCAGAAAGGCCTTGAAAAACCTGGCAAAATCAAGAAAAGTCAGCCTCATATAGGTCACGGGACACTCGGGGAGACAGACAGACTGGCCAAGATCGGTTCAGGACGGACCCCGGTCGGACCGGAACCAATCTTGGGAATACCAAACAGTCTAGCAATTCCTCAAAATATGGCAGGACACACTAGGAACGAGACAATCGAAGTTCCACATAAAGGAACCTTTGAACAGGCTCACAAAAGAGGTTTTATCCCTCAACAGGCGAGACTTCAAAATGGTAGTGGGGCTCCTAACGGGACACAATCACCTCAATAGGCACCTAGAGCTCATTGGGATCAAAGATGATCCCCTTTCCAGATGGTGCCTGGAAGCTGACGAAGCATCATCATCGATGTCCTCACTGAGTGCCCAGCACTGACACATCAGAGGAGGGCTGTCCTTGGCAACATAATTTTGATGCCAAAGGACGTGACAGAGATTATTCAACTGAGGAAGCTGCTGGAGGCCTACGTGCATGGGTGTTCACCCGCCCATCAGTGCTTCGAAGAAGAAGAGGAAGAAGAAGGTACGCAGAGCGATTTAGCTCCTATTGAAGTTCGTTTGGAGTTCCTGCACGTGGCAAACATTCACAGATTGGGTTTTTTCAATTCAAAATTTGTTCCACGCCCTGTATGAAGAACATCAATTCATTGTACTACTGACAAACGCTCCAATGACTTTGGATAGACTATACCTAAGTCGAATCTAATACATAATTATGGTTGCATTGATTTGTTCACGGATGAATACGTCACGCATTTTCTCGCGTTTCTTATGTTATGAGATATCGTGAATTTCAATAATCATTTGAAAAATGTACAGAATTCTGAGGAAAAAACGGTTTGCGGCAGTGAACTAGTTAGGGTTAGTACTTCAAAATAATGAAATTAAATTTTCCACTGAAACAGGCCCATTATAAACTATACCTCCACGTCATTTCGATCATTTGTATATAGGTACATAGAATTTTCAAATTGGTTCTTCTTGAAGTACCTCTTGATGCATGGGCATACCTATTGAGAAATCGATGGGGAAATCATAATGACGTAAGGTCTAATTCAATTGATGATTTATTTGAAATCACCATTGGACCGATAGTTTTCAAATGTTCAGGAATAGAATCAAGGGTAGTTATACAAGTGACCCACTTCTAATGGAACCACTCCTGTATCTTACGTAATCGTTGGGTAAATTGTTCTAAAATTGTTCTAAAATTGTTCTATCCGTCATTCGGTTGCCCCCTTACGAGCAACCCTCAGAAGTCTTCAAGAGTCTTGTGCGAGCAAGGAATGACGGGGGCCTTACCTTTTAACGTGTGATCCCAAACACTTTCTTGGGCCATCAGAAAAATTTCTGCAGTCGACGGGACTCGAACCCACGACCGGCAAGCGAATGCGGATTAGAATATGGACACTCTGTCCGCACGGCTACCTGGCCCCATCCCGTAAGGATCCTGAAATTTGCTGGAGCGAGAGATATACCAAAACTGCACTCTTTGACCAAGTGGGGACAT